TCAATCCTTCCCTCCAAGTCTAGGAGCTGCCTGCGAGGACATCTTACCAGACAGCTTCATTGTGTTCCTATCATCAATCAGATTGTATTTGGGGCCATAGCACTGTCATTGCTAACTCAGCCCCAGAAGGGAAATTTAGGCTTATGAGGAAGGACATCTGCCAAAGAAGGTGATACACCATCACCCAAGAGAGCCAGAATTTGTGGACATTGGTTTACTGGTGACCTGAGACCATTTTATCTCATCCAGCACTCAAAAATAAGAAGTTCATTAGCCATTGATTAAGCATTAAGCATACTGGATCCTTTTTCTTCTCACTTCATCTTCTCCATAACCCTCTGGGGTAGGGCCAAGTGTAGATGGGAGACCTGAGGTGGAGGGGAGTGAAGTGACCAGACAACAGGAACAACTGTCATCATCATTTCAGCACTGGTGTTACTGCATATCAGGGCTTCCCTCATGCTCCACCCTTCATACACATTATCCCACCGCATCCACACCTCACACCTGGAGGCGAATCCCATCTTTAGTCCCATTTCACACACAGGGGACCTGGGGCTCAGGGAGATGAAGCTCCTTGTCCAGACTGCACAGCCTGTAACAAGTGAAGAGAGAGGATTCAAACACACTGGCCCAGCACTGAAGCCGGGGTGTGAGCACCACCCCCTCAGTATGCTCTTAATTTCCTTTTGCCACCAGGATCCAAGCACAGGGTTGTTTACCCATTTTACCAAGTGAAGCCTGGGGCCAAAACCGCGTTGAATTCACTACATCACACTCAGGCCCTTGGCCTGTGCTCCTGAGTCGGGAAAACTCTCTTCACAAGATTTTAGCACAGCCCTCGGCTCTGTGCCCACAACCAGGGGACGAGGGACCCCAGTGTTTGCAGAACTGGGCGTAGACAGTCTGGGAGGGTGGTCTGCTGATGGGCCCAAGGTTCTGCTGGATGGGTTCCTCAACATCCGAGCCCGAGGCTTCGGCACCCGCTCTGTGCTCTGATGGTGGGATCAGTCAGCGTGAGGAACACTAGCTCCCCAAGCCTCCAGCCCTGCCTCTATTCTGCCCTGGCCACGTTCATGTCCAGGGCAGGCTTACAGGTTCCTACAAGAAGCATGTGGAAGAACGGAGGGGAAACCCTGGATGACCCAGAGATCTCTGCCGGGGCTCCCCGTCTGATGTCAGTGAGCCCCCATCCGTGCTTCCTGGACCGGGTGTTTCGGGTTGACACAGGCCCAACGCACCAGGCGTTTCAACCAAATGAAAGAGCAGAGTTCAAGGAATAAGCAGGGTATTAAGCCCAAAGACGCTTCTGCCAGACCAGCTGGCCTCAGTGTGATCTGGGTGAAAGGTCCTTCCCTGGTAACTCAAGTGCTGGGCCCTGTCCATGTAAGACCTGTGTGAGTCACCTCTCTTCCCTGAGCCTCAGTTTCCTCAACTGGAAAATGGGGCTTCAAGTCTCCTCATGGGGTTGTCGTGAGCACCAATGGCTAAAGCGGACCTGCAGGGCCAAGCCCAGGGTCAGCCGGTCACCCGGGGCCCTCCTGGGTGCTGGACCCTGCGGCCAAAGAATGCCACTCGCTGCTGCCCCCAGAGGATGGGAGCTGGAACAGCCAACCTCGATGGGAGAAGGCACAGAACTGGGTCACTCTCCAGCTCTGCCCCTTCCCATCTGTGTGACCTTGAACAAGTCATCCTGCCCTCCTGAGCCTCACATTCCTCAGCTGGGAAATGGGGACACTAACACCCTCTGCATGGTTGCTGAGAAGAGGAAACAAGATGAAGCCGCATAAGCATATTGGGTTGTGAGGGTCATGTCTAGGCAGAGCTGAGGTTCCAGAGGATGGCATGGGGATAACAGCTCATAGAACTCAAGGCAGAAAGTACCTCTGAGCCATCTAGTCCAGTTCCTTCCATTTCTTGCCAGCCATCCTGGAGCCCCTGAGCCTAAGTACCTAGGGATGGCCTCAGGCATCTATAGTTTAAAGAAACTTACTAGGTGATTCTAGTTAGTCTTTTTCTTTTTTCCCCTAAGACTATTGCCCAAAGTAGAAAATGTCAACGAAACCAAAAGAGATGAAATGAAAGAGGAAAGTAAGTGGGGTTCAAAGCACTTTGAACCCTTGGATGTAGTCTTGGATGAGTCTTTCTCCTTCTCTGGGCCAGCTCCCAAGACTTTTCAGCAAAGAGGTTAAATTGATGGATCCTAAGATCTTCTGAGGCTTTGAAGTCTGTTATGTTTCCAATGTGGTCGTGTGACCCTCGAGTAGTCATCAGAAGGGAGGAAGCAAATGTGAGTCTGCAAGTGTGCCGAGTCAGGACTTACTGTGGGTTTGAACAGCAGGACCCAAATCACACTGACTTCAGCAAAAAAGATAGGGAGGAAGAAATGTATCTGAACTGGAAAGTCTAGGGCACAGGGGACATCAGGCACAGCTAGATCCAGGCACTGAAAGGATATATTGTCTCATTCCCTTTGTATTTGAGCATTCAACATGAGTGAGTCACCATGAGAACATGGTTCCTTAAAAAGTAGGAACTTGTGTGCCAGCCCCAGACTCACCAACGGGGATCAAGCATGAAGATCATTTCACCTCAAAGCTCAGCAATGAGAAGAGGCTGATATCAGTGCAAGCTGGCTTTGTCCTGGGTGCGGTCCATGCTGAGAAATAGCACCAGCCACTGTCACTCCAGGAGTCACATGGCTGACTCCATGGCCAGGTGGAGGTGGGGTCTTGGGAGGAAGGGAGGTTGAGAAAAGGAAAGAGGCAGGAAGCCTGAGGGAACCATAGCTCCATATTCCATAGCTCAGAACCAAAGCTCTCCCTGAGCCTGACTCAGGGGGAAAAATAATCTGGGAAGAAGAGTCATACAAATATGTAACCATGGTTTTTATAGAGCCGAATCATGGCTCACAGTTACAACAAGTCGCACAGGATCTTAGCAGCCATGTGGTCAAGTTCCTGAGGATTTCTGGTGATGAGAGCCTTACCATCTTCCCAGGGAGTGGATGGCTTTATAGGATGCTCCAGAGAGGCTTGGAGCACTCTAGAGCCAGGTCAAGGTTTTGGGGACCCTTGTGAGAGGAAAGCCACAGAATAAGGATGGTATCAAGTTGCTGAGGGCAGAGAACAAGAGGAAAAAGTCAGATGATGATAATTTGCTGTGAAAGAAGCCTAGCAGAAGATGAGTCAAGGGGAAAGGGAGGGGCACTTCAGGTGGACAGTCACAGAATTTGTGAGGTGATGTTGAGAGCCAGTGACAGCTAGGGAGGAGAGTTCTGAAAAGAGGGAATGGCCTGTGCAGAGTCCCAAGGCAGCAAAGAGGCTTGAATCTTTCTAGAACAGAAGGAAGGCAGTAGGGGCCATGGAGGGAGAGGGAGATGGTTTGGAGCAGCAGTGAGCAGATGACGCAGGGACCATGATGGGGACTTCGGGTTTACACCGAATGAGACCCCTCTGGCTGCTGCCTTGAGAGTAGCGGGATTGGGGGCAAGTGTACAGAGGGAGACCGCATAGAAGAAGGTATTTTGCAGGCAGATGTTGTTGTCTCTCAGGGGGAACTCTGCCAATTAAATGAGTAGGCAGACTTTGGAGGATGGTATTGAGCAATGCATCATTACAAATATCTGCCCTGAGGCTGGCTCCACTATGAGGGATGTGGTGGAGAGCACACAAAAATCAGAGAAGAGTTGGAAAAAATGGCCTCACTAGTCCCTGACCCTGACTCCTTGGGACATAATTCTAGCACATCTCTGTCCATGTCTTACTGGGTGACCTCAAGCCTGCTGCTCTCCTTCTCTTGAACTGAGTTTCCAAATGATGACAAAATTAGGCTCGATGATCACTATGGGTCCTCCTATCACAACATTCTCCAGTTCATCCATTCTCAGTCTTTACCCCAAGCCCCACCTACAATGGCCACTATCTTGGCAGCTGGAGTTTTCATGAGAACCTGCTCTTAGTCTTGGCACAGAGTCTTCTCCATAGCCACCCATTTCAATTCAAGCGTCCTGGGTGACCTTTGCGTTGGAAATCTCTCTCTGTTCACTCTAGACAAGGATTATTTTCTTTGGAGTCCCCTTGAATGGCTCTGGACCCAGGGCTTGTTTCCAGGGGCAGCCTCCCACCCACCACCACAATATAAGGGCCATCACCAGCCTGCAGAATCCCAGGAGACTGCAGGGGAGCAAGGATTTTGTAAGTATTTTCCTCCAAACCTGTGAATGGTGGGCTTCCCCTTTAATGTCACCCCACATGGAGATCTTCAGAAGGCCCTGGGACCAAGAGGCAGAGGGACAGGGCCACATGAATTAGGTAATATTGTCAATATAGCAAATTAAGAAATCAATTATATTAGAAGTTTCAAACTGGTAAGCAATGTGGGGTCATGATGTGGTGTGCATTTATTTGTTCATACTTTTATTCTGCAAACCTTTATTTTGTTACACTGTATAAGGTGCAGGTTTTTTACTATCAGTTGGGAATTCCTAAAGTTACAGTCCCTATCTAAGGAGTTCACAGCCTGGTGAGAAAGGAGGCAAGTCATCACTAATTGTACCAAGGATTCTGATCAGAGAATGAAGGCAACAAGATGGTAGAGTGGGGTCCCCTGACCTAACCCTGAGAAGGGCCAAGAGTGGGCTTTATAGAGGATATGATGTCTTACTGAAGCTGGAGACTCAGCAAGAAGTGACTCATGTTAAAATGCAAAGAAGAGGGAAATGTTCCAGGCAGAGAAGCCAGAAAATGCAAATGGCCTCTGTGTAAAGAGCGCTGACCTGGAGTCAAGCGTGACTTTTCAAATACTATCTCTCTACTCAGTGGTTGTGTATCTTTGTGCAAGTTGCTCTAGCTTCCCGACTGGGCTGCCCCTCTGTAAGAGAGCAGATAGCTTCAAGGACTGTTGAGTGTAGGAGTGATAGGTGCTCATTAAATATCCCGTTTCCCTATGGGTAATTCTCACTCCTGTTCCTCCCATGACTGTCCAGGTGTCAGGACAAGATGTTTCAGCTTTGGGGACTTGCTCTCTTGTGTGGCCTGCTCACTGGGACTTCAGCATCTCCTCTTGACAACGATGTTGTGAGAGAGCTGCAATCTGCTCTTAAAAAAGGACTTGAGACTGATGACAGTGCATTTGAATGTGAGTCAGCAAGTGGGATGATCAGTGGTACCTATTTCTCTAATTTTGAAAAAATTCACTCATTTTTTCATCTTTTATTTGTTATTTACATTATTTAAATTAAATATTTTATTTATATTTGCAGCATATTCTTCTGTTGGGTCATTCAGTCTTCTTGGTGATTTGTATTACCTAATTGGAAATTAATCCCTACTAAACCTAGGTAGGCTTAAAACTACCCGCCTTTCCAGTTAGTCATATCGCTTTTTAATTCTGATTTCTTCTCATTTCCTGGAAACATTACCAGCACACTGACAAACATTTCTTATAGGAGAAACTGACTTCTGAAAATGACTGCCTTTGAACCTTGTCAGGATTTAGGCAACCTTCAAAGATACACTTTCTAGTTTCTTTACTGATAAAACTGAGCTCAGAAACAGAGTGTCTGAATCCAGTTCACCTAGTAAGTTATAGGACCAGATGTAGCTTCCACCTCTGTTTGCATCAATATAGTTAGGTGATGCCGTCTGTTGCAGAGCCAAGTAGCACTACGATCACACATCTTTTCCTGTAGCCTTTTGCTTTTCCTTGAGCTAGTTATTGCCTTGTTTCTCATTTGATTTCCTTTCAAAACATATATTCTTAATTGCTTCCAAATGTGCCATTCTACATCTACCACCATGCTATCAAATCCCTTTATCTCTGAAGGAGCCCCATTAGGACACTGTGTTCTTCTTCTCCTGTATGAGTCATTTCTTTCTAGGCCTGCTGCAAGACTGTTCCTGGGAATCCTATTTGCCACTTTCATGAGTTGGAGCCATAATTTTTCTCTGATTCTAGATTTTCCATTTCTTAGTTTATTCCAAATTTATTTCATTTATTTGAGCATCGTATTAGAGCTTCACTATTAGAACCTGATGTTCAATCTGTCTCTATTGCCTACAAAGTGGATTGATTACTCTGGTGATGAACGATGAGTATGTATTAGTATGAAGGCAGCATAGAAGGAACAAGGTCTCCTAGCTGTGAGACTTTAGGCCCGTATCTTAACCTTTTGATCTTTTGTTTTCTCGTATGAAAGTGCAGATAACAGTAGCACCAGCTTTATGGAGTTGTAAAGACTGAATGAAGTAACAGAGGCAAACAGTCTCATTTGGTGTCTGTGCTAGGAGCTGCTTCATAAGTTGTGTATCACACTAAAAGGAGATTACTTTTGCAGCTGGCCTTGAGAAAGTGAAGGCCGATTTTGAGTCAGTCCAGGATTTCACATGTTTGGAGATAGTCACTGTGAAGGAAGTACTTACCGAGAAGATCCAGGAAGCTGAGTTCCTGGACAAGGACAATACTGAAAATCTTCAACTATTTGTCAGCTGTTTACGGTGAGTTGACATTGAGTTCACACTGAAGCTCTTTGTTCCAAAAGAGAATACACATCTTTGGGGAGGTGAATTTAAGATCAAAGACAGAAAAGTGAAAAAAAAAAGCCAACAAAAAACACTTGTACATCCCTGAGAGTGGAACTGGTGTGAGGCCAGCTCTTCTAGAGTTTGGGAAAGTTAGAGGCAGGGCTGCAGGACCTATCAAGGGTCTTAAAGGTCTAGGCTTGCTTTTCTTCTCATATGATTTCAGGTTCAGGATAAAGGTTCCCATCACCCTTGTCTCTACTTGTTTTCTGGTACCTAAATTCACTTTTCCAAGGAATAAAACTTTTCTTCCCTGAATATAGCTGAGTATAAAAGTCTGAATGACCTCAGGACAGAGGAAACTAGAATTTATACCATACACATGGCCCCATACATGAAGTCTGGGAGCCAAGCAGTTTTGGGTTCAAAATCTGACTCTGCTAAAAAAGAATGAAATAATGCCGTTTGTAGCAACAAATGGAAGGATGTAGAGATAATCATACTAAGTGAGTTCAGAGAAAGACAAATATCACATGATATCACTTATATGTGGAATCTAAAAGATGATGCTATGAACTTATACAAAATGGAAACAGATTGGTAGACATAAAGAAACAACTCATGGCTAATAACAGGGAAAGCAGTATGGGAGATAAATTAAGAGTTTGGCTTTAACATAGATACACTGCTGTATATGTTAAATATATACTTCATATACACTGTATATGAAGTAGACAACGAACAAGGACCTACTATGTAACACAGGGAACTGTACTCAATATTTTGTAACCACCTATAAGGGGAAAAATATGAAATGAAAAGTATCTCTGTCTCTACCTATATACCTATAGCTATATCTATATCCATCTACTAGAGAAGGAAAAAGCAACCCACTCAAGTAGTCTTGCCTGGAGAATCAGGAGGAGCCTGGTGGACAGAGGAGTCTGGTGGGCTACAGCCCGTAGGGTCGCAAAGAGTCAGACATGACTGAAGTGACTAGCACACACACATATCTATCAACCTATACATACCTGAATCACTTTGCAGTACACCTGTAACTAACACAACACTGTAAAGCAACTCTACTTTAATTTTTTAAGGAACCAAATTCTGACTGTGGACATATTCACCCTGGAGTCTTGGGGGAATTACAGTTGTCTCCTGCCATGCCATCCAGTGGAGAGAATCCAACCTCTGAACTGGGTTCTCATGAAAATCAAAGCAGGCAAAATCAGTCAGTCTCAAATTCTCAGCATGAGACTGGCATAGAGAAGAGCCCAGCAATGGTTGCATGAGGAATGACAAGGGTGAATTGTGGTTTTTGCACAGGTTGACAATCAGGAGCATCAGTATCGGGAATATCACATTCGAAGAGCCTTGTGAAGGCACAGGCATTAACCTGAGTATCTCCATCACTGCTGAGGTCACCCTGACCCTGTGAGTATTGGTTAGAACCTGAGGTTTGAGAGATGCAGTGCGGTATGCCAGTAGATCTCCAATCTGGCACCAGGTACTTTTCCATGCTTCTGATTTGGTCTCCCAACCTGTAAAAGAAGGAGACCTTTCCAGGTCTAAGGGCTTCCTTGGTGGCTCCAGATGGTAAAGAATCTGCCTGCAATGTGGAAGACCTGGGTTCAATCCCTGGGTTGGGAGGATCCTCTCGAGAAGGAAATGGCTACCCACTCCAGCATTCTTGGGCTTCCCTGGTGGCTCAGAGGGTGGATCCCCTGGAAAAGGGAGTGGCTACCGACTCCAGTATTCTTTCCTGGAGAATTCCATGGACAGAGGTGCCTGGTGGGTTATGGTCCATGGGCTCGCAAAGAGTCAAACACACCTGAAATCTTAACGTTTAAACTGTTCTAAGAAACATGGGTCATAACCAATCTTTTTATTAAAAAACCCTCCATGAAACATATGTCCTAAACCATCATGCTTATCTAATTATAAAACTTGAAAACTGAGAAGATTTATTTACTACTCTTTGATAACTCATTTATCACTCTTTGATAAAGTTTCCTGCAGCATCACTTTGTCTCTCAAGATTCTCTTTAAGTGATAGTGACCAGTACGGACCACATAGTATTGTACAGTATGTAATGAAGAGCATATGAAAATTATATGGAAACTATAATTTTTAAGTGTTTTAATTACTTTAAAGATACAAAGAGATAAAATGAAGGTGTGTAGGAGAGTCTTTATCAATTAAATGCACTATGGTTTCATCATTTCTTAGCTATGAGATCTTGGGGGACAGTCACTTAACCTCTCTATACCAAGTGTTTCCACATTCTGAAAATAGAGATAGTAATTTTCTGTCATGATAGTGCAGTCATGATGAAATGGATTAATCCAGGTAAAATACTTTTGTTTGAAATACCTAACACAGAATTTGTGCTAAAGAAATGTTGACTATTATATTTATTTTAATCATCAGTGTAATACTATATAGAAATTTCATGTGAGAGAAACCCTTGTGGCCAGGAGAAGAGAAACCTAATATAAGAAAGCAGATGCTGTAAAGAATACAGACAATATTGACATTGTCCACAGACACCCCATATAATGTCCACAGAGAAGGGGACTCTAGTGAGCAACAAGAAGGGATTTCTCCACCTCTGTTAACTGTGAATCTTATTCCCTACAGGCCTCTGTTGGGTGCGGTTGTTGACCTGACCCTCAACTTTGTCCTACAGACAAGTATCAGCTTTAAAACTGATGAATCTGGTACCTTAATGGTGGTCATGGGAGAATGCACCTATACACCAGCCAAGATCTCACTCCCCTTCGTGAACAGGTCAGGCCCAGATATCTCAGCAGAGTGGGACTCCCAAAGGAGCTGGAATCCCTAAATTCAGCCCTATTCCTATATTTGGGAGGGAGCAGAATATGGTGAAAAAGAGGTGAAACTCTGGAGACAAGCTAGCTTTGCCACTAACTTATGGTTTTATCATCATTTTAGCTCTAGGAGCTCCAGTGTTCATTTTTAAACTGAGGATGGTAGTAATGCCTAATTCATAGGCTACTGTGTTGACCAAATGAAAAGATGCAAGTGTTTCGCATACAGCCTGGCACTGTGCTCTCAGTAATAATAACACCCATGTTGACTTTCCGTCTCCCGGTTCTTCCCCTAACTGAGACAGGAGTGTTGACCTCTCCAGTCATAACTGTGAACTTGCATATTTCACCATTCAGCTTTATCTGTTTTTGCTTCATGCTTTTTGAAGCTCTGTTGTTAGATGCCTGAACATTTAACATTGCTATGTCTACTTGAAGAACTGACATTTCTCGTTTTACATAATGTCCCTCAATAATAATAATAATAATTCACTTGTTTAGCTTCTTGCCTCTAATTAGGAGGGGCAAGAGGAGTAATAAACCCTACCATGGGTCTAATTTCAGATTGCCCCCAAATCATCCTCCATGCACTGGGAAATTCCCAAAATAAGATCTTGAAAACCGAATCCTCTCCTTTTAAATCAGTGATTTCTGGTAACACACCAAAACTACATCTTAAATTGTGTGCTTGAAAGAGCATGTTTAGCCCAGGGAAGAAGGTGGGGGGAGAAAGGCTGACCCTGGTCATGGCTGGGCGAGGAGAAGTAGTCTGGATGCCGATTGCTGGGGCAGGTTGGCTTTGGCAAGGAACCAGGTTGAGCCATGAGCAGAGGTCAGTCCATCCCGCCTCAACAAGGGATCTGATCACAGGTTGCCTAAAGAACCCCAGAACCAAAAACAGGCTCTGAAGCCTACCATCACTTGGGAAAACTGAGATGTAAGTCCAAATGCCTGAGCCCTGCTGGACAATGCCTCGCCTATAGCGCCAGAGAAATCACCTTGCCTTCTGGGGCTCAGTGACCATATCTGTAAAATGGCATTCCACTCTGCTGCTCCAAACCCCCTGGGGGCTTTGCTCTCCACTTTGGGTACAATCCCAAGCCCTCCATAGGGCCATCTAGACCACCTGATCTGGATCCACCCTCATATCACTGTGCTCTCCCCCTTGCCACTCTGCCCTAGACACACTAGCTTTTGCTCTGAGCCTCAAACAAACTCCTTCCACCTCGAGACCTGTGCAAGGGGCTGTTCTGGATGTCAAGTACACTTATCCCCCATCCCATCTCAATGTACTTCTCATCACTCAGGGTCTAAAACAAGGTTCCTCCTCTTCACTCTCTTAAGAATCTGCTCTTGCCCTTCTGAATACCTTCCATGAGTTGTCATTATATATTTAATTGTAGGTTTACTTTATTTATTCCCTCAGCCAAAAATGTGCTGAGCATATGCTCCATGCCAGGCAGCCACAATTCTGAGCTCTGGAGAATGTATCGGTGACTTCAGGCAAAGAGGTTGCTCTCCTGGAGCTTATTCTCTTGAGGGAATGACCAATAGACAAGCATTAGTCCAACAATAAACAGCCCACGAGATAAATGTCAGATGGCAACCATCCCTGGGCAGAGCAGCACACTTAATAGGGTGCAATGATACAAAGCCCTCCCTCATGCAGCAGTCATGGAGGGCTGCCCTGAAGAGGTGACAGTTATGCTGGGGGCTGGAGGCGGGAAGGAGCCAGCCTTAACCACACTCATTTCATATGTAGTTACCAGACTGGAAGCTGCTTGTGCTTTATTGATCCCTGTGTCCCCAGTCTGGCTTGGTTCCTGGCATATATGCTTGTTGCTGTATAAATATGTGCTGAATGAATGAATGGAAGGATAGATGGATGGATGGATGAGGTGTCATGTCTGTGATGAGACTCTCATGAGCTGTTAGGGTGAGCTGCTGGTCAGTCATGTGGTTCTAGGTGATGAGCCCCCTGAGCAGAAGCTCAAGTCACCTGACTTCAGGGTGCCCCACCATCGCCCGCCCTCTTCCCACTGCTCCTCCCTGCCTGCTCTGCCAACTTCACTGGTCTTTATCAGTTCCGTCTCCAGCCCCACTGGACTGATCAGCGATATCAGAAAGACGGTGACCACACTTGTGAATGAGGTGGAGGACTACCTAGTGCAGTACGTGGTGAGTACCCCACTTCTGGCAGCTCAGAGCCAGGCCAGGTGGGGAGCAGGTGTGACATTCCCCGGGTGGGCTGTGCTCTTTGGGCACCTTCCCTTCTGAGGTGCCCACTTCCTTTGGGCTGTCAGCTGCTGCTCCCCTCCTTCACTCAGCCTGGTGTGGGGAGAAGGGGAGGAGGGATCTGATATTAGCAGAAATCACTGGGGTCCAACTTGAGTCATATACCATACCCATGTACTGCCAGTAGGCCTTTTAGCAATATTCCTCTTTACTGAATACAATTTTATTTAATTTATTTAAATATAAAAAGTACATGTACCCTAAGTAAGATTCCTGTGCATCATATGCAAACCACATGTACTATGTGCCAGAAATGATTCTAAATTAGTCACTCTGGAGTTTGGTTGGGAATCACGGTTTATGGGGGAAAAATTCCTCAGAAGGCTCTGTGATTTACTGAACTGGAAGGTCACTGCTCAAGTTGTGCTTCTCAGAATAGCAACACTGACCTCATCTGGACTCTTGTTAGAAATGCAGACTCTCAGGTCCTACCCCAGATCTGCTGACTCAAGAATTTGCATTTTCACAAGATCCGTGGGGATTGTATAGACACAAAATCATTGGAAATACTTCTCTGTGGTTCCCAGGGCCTCATTTGACTGCTTAAAATTGCAGTGTCCCAAAGGTCAAGGTATCTCAGAGCATAGAATTCTGGAATGTTAAAAGTCTACATTTTAGGGTTTTAATCTTCTGAAGTTTCAGGATTCTATTGCTCTCTGGCTCTCAGATTTGGGCCCATCATTGTAAATTCCTACGGGCAGAAGTTCTGAGATCCCGAGTAGGGCAGTTAGTTGGCAGGGTGCTCCCGGTCGATAATGATCAGTCCTCTTTCTCTCCTGTCTCTCCTCTCCCCCCTCCCCATCCCAACATCGTTCCTGCCTTCCTCTCTCCACCTCTCGCTGTCTCTCTCCCTGGTGTCCTGTGACCCTCAGCTGTGTCCACGAATCCACACCATCATCAGCTCCTTGAATGAGAATTTGGTTAAGAACCTCAACGGTAAGTCACAGCCTGGGGAAGTGGTGCGGGCTCCCTCTGCAGCCCTCCAAGGGGCAGGCTCCCTGCTCTATGCCTACTTGACAGGCAGGACTGTCAGCGGACCCTGGAGAAGTTCAGGACCCTTTGTCCTGAGCAAGTCAGGAGAGTGCGGCTGGGGGAACGGTGTCCCTGCAGACTGAGGGCTGCTATTGGCCTCCTTTCTCAAACCTGCAGAACCAGCTGCACAGATTGATGAGAGAAAGGACAGGTCAGATCTGGGTCCAAATCCGGGATTTCCTCTTAGCAGCTGCGGGGTCTTGGTCAACTGGTTCAACCTCTCTGATCCTTGGGTTCCTCAGAAATGAAAGACTGTAAACACTGCCAAGCTGATGAGTGGATCTAAAGAATAACCAGAAAGAGCCTAATATCTCATACTCATTGCTACTGAACACTGCCCCTTCCCCTTTCCTTCTTATGAGGAGTTGTGGCTTCAGCCCCAGCCCCTGGGGGCTTTCTTTGTCCTGGGTCTCTGGCATGACAGGAGTTTCTGGGGCTGTGGGGCAACAGAAATGGGGTGAGTCACAGTGTCAGGGTCCTGGAGGTGGTCCTTCTAGAAAACGGCCCCAGGCGCATTTACCTGGGCCATACTTCTGTGCTTCATATACACCCTCTCATTGTATTCTTTCAACAACACTGTGGAGTGGGTACTGTTATCATACCCATTTTACAGATGAACAAACTGAGGCTCAGAGAGACAGAGTGACATGCAAGAGATCCCGTGATTGCTGAGTCTGACCTGCTGGAGGGTGGCAGCCACTGGGATCTAGTTTCTATTCAGCTACATCCAGATCTGGAGAAATGCTACTGATTTTGTTCCCTCAGATATACTTCAGGAAACCGCACAACAAATTGTAAACTGAAGAGGACAGATGAGAAAAACCACTGTGATGCCCGCCTGCTGGTGAGGACCGGGCTCGGGGCCCTGGGCTGAGGGAGGATGAGATCCCCACAGGGGTCCGTGGAGAAGCAGAAGCAAGCTTGGCTTCTCCTCTTTCTCAGACTGAGCCCTGACCTTGGTCACAGCCTGAGTCCTGACCCTTAATCACACACTCAGACTGTGCTTGACTGGGTCCCTGACTGAGCCCGGAATGCAGTCAGGTTGAAGTTTGACTTCAGCTGTTGACTGAGCCCTGACTTGGGTCATGGATAGAGACCCGACCAGCATCTCAGGCTGATCCCTGATCCTGATCATACGCTGAGCCCTGAACCCTGGCTCCTCTGGGCCCTGATCAATGTTTTCACATCGGCCACTGTTGCTAGGGTGAGGGGCTGGGAGGGTGAGGGGATGAGGAGGGGTCAGTGCCAGGTGCCAGAGAAAGACCCCAAACCACAGATGCCAGTCCCTCTCCAAGCCTCAGAGCTCGCAGGGTTTGTGGAGAAGCACTTTGGTAGCTATGCCTGCTGGATGCAGGAGCTGATAAGGGCCCCGGGGTGTCCATGCCTCACACCGGGGTCTCCTTCCAGGTTGGTTCCCGGGACGTGACTGAATCTCTGTACCGTCTCCCTCTGGGACGGTTGGTGGTGCCACCATCCCCCAGGGGGGACAACTGAGTGCGGTCAAGGACACTCTCAGATACTCCTCCTTGTAATCAGGACACCTATGCTCATCACCCTCCACCCGCAGCAATAAAAAGGCATTTCTGCACCTTCAGTGTGGCCCGTGGCATTCCTTCCATTGGGATTTCGGGGGAGGTGAGGTATGGGCAATCAGGACATCAGAGACCTGGATCCGAAGTTGGAATCGACATTAGGGATTATCCAGCCACAACTTCTTGTCTTATAAGGGAAAACCTGAGGCCCATGATGGGCAAGAAAGTGACCTGAGGTCACATAGAGACAGCCTTACTCTGCTTCTGCTCCACCACCACCAGCACACCTGACCTCATGACCTCCTCACAGCACCCTTCTGCCAGGAGACATGGCTCTTGTCCCCATTATACAGATGAGGAAACTGAAGCTCACAGAAGACAAGTGATTCATCAAGGTTACAGGGTGGCAAGCGGCAGGGCTGGAATTTTAACCCATGTCCCTGGGAACACTTGCTCAGAGAGGTGACACCCTGGCTGTCAGTACTCAGCCACCTGCCACCTGCCCCCAGCAGGTCCCATCACCCTGGCCCTGCTCTCTTCTGAGTAGGACTGATGCAGTCCTCTCGAGTCTGCTCTTCCTCCCTAACATGGAAGCCCTCAATTTCCCCTTGGCCCTGGAGTGGGGAGCAAGGCACCCATTACTCATAGCTGCATCACATGTGCAGAGGTTTGACCTGGGCTGTCACGTCAGGGTCCCCGGGCTTCTTTCCCGAAGACCATCTGGTTTTCCTGACGAAAGACCCAGAGAAACTTTGTCCATTTTGCCATGGAAACATCCCAGTGCTTTGTGCAATTCTGTAAGGGAGGGACCACTGTCGTCCTCACTGGAGACGCAGGGTAGGAGGTCAGGGTCACACAGAGGCCTGCACCAGCAGCGACTTCACCCAAGGGCTTTCTACCTGATGAAGGCTGCCTAACAAGGTCAACTCACTTCAGGGAGCCCTTGAGCCCCTGGGGCTATGTCCAGGGGCCTTCAACCAGCTCTCCTCAGCTCTGCCGAGCGGACCTTAGGTCAGGCTGTGCTGGGGCCAACAAGGCACGGAGTGAAGGGCTGGACAAAGGTGAACTTGAGTTACTTGGCCTCCTCCCCTTGCTAGCTGTTTAATCTCAAGCAAGTTACTCTTAGAACCACAGTTCTCTCACCTGCCAAATAGAACTAACAGCAAAACTTCCTCAGGACACTGGTGTGAGGTTTAAATGAGTCAATGACTGAAAAGTGCTTAACCAGGGTCTGACACTGGTGAGCACAAGTCGGGCTCTACATGAGTCAGGCTCTGGAATTACTGTCAAACAGTGTTGAGAAACCACGTATTACATCTTTATACACTGTATCTCATTAGATTCTCATTTTTACTGAGTGATGCAGGGGATGGTTCTTGGGGAATGTGTGGTAAGTGAATCTCCAAGAGGAGAGGTGAAATGACTTCTCCAGAGCCACACAGCTGGTCAGAGGCAAAGCTAGGTTGCATGTGAAGTCGGACTCCTCCAGAGCTGCTTCTTCCCCTGCTGATAGCAAAAGGATGAGAGTTTTCCTCTCTGTCTAATTTTTGTGACAATCTCAACTCCCACAACTGCACACAAGGAGGTCTCACAATTCAGCACTTCTCTTGAGCAGTAGCCCCCTTCAGTCAGTGCTGAGTGTTTGTCAGGTAATTCTGTCCACCGGAACATAATTGCTTGTCTCCTTGCAGCTTCTCAGTCCTCCTTAGCCCCACAATTCCGCTCAGGAGCTATCTCCTCGTAAGTGGGGCCACACCTCAGTGTCTCCCCAACAAAGAGACCATGTTTCCCAGCTGGTAGATCTACCCAAGCTACCTTGTTATCATTGTCCCATACAGACAGAGGGAGCAAGAAGGGTCAGCTCTCACGATTATGGTTGCATTTTTTAAATAATCTTTTTCCCCCATTTTTAATGGGTGGCAAGAATACACAGAAGACCTATACAAAAAAGATCTTCATCACCCAGATAACCACAATGGTGTGATCACTCCCCTAGAGCCAGACATCCTGGAATGTGAAGTCAAGTGGGCCTTAGGAAGCATCACTACGAACAAAGCTAGGGGAGGTGATGGAATTCCAGTTGAGCTATTTCAAATCCTCAAAGATCATGCTGTGAAAGTGCTGCACTCAATATGCCATCACATTTGGAAAACACGGCAGTGGCCACAGGACTGGAAAAGGTCAGTTTTCATTCCAATCCCAAAGAAAGGCAATCCCAAAGAATGTTCAAACTACCGCACAATTGCACTCATCTCACACACTATCAAAGTAATGTTCAAAATTCTCCAAGTGAAGCTTCAATAGTACATGAACCAGGAACTTCCAGATGTTCAAGCTGGATTTAGAAAAAGCAGAGGAACCAGAGATCAAATCCCCAATATCCA